GGACGGGACCCCGCGCAGACTCCGTTAGACGCCCGCGCAGAAAAAAAAATTGTTTGACCCCCCCCTTCTTCCTCCTCTCCCACGCATCTCCTACCAACGCTATCCTAACCTGCCTTGTTCGAATATATAAGAGCTGCTGTACAAGTATCATCCAGCCTGCCCGTCGATCATTTCGGAATATTCCGATAATGGACTGACTCGATTCACCCATATATCACTGTTAACCATCCGAGATTAGCATTCATATTTTCTTCCATTTAAATCTTCTCATTTTATAACGATTAACAATTGGTTAGGTTAGGTTAGGAATGGGTTACAACGGGTTAGGATGGGTTACCAGTAAGTTAGCATAGATTAAAACAGGTTACCACGGGTTAGGATGAATTACCTGTCCATTCAGGTACAGGATGTTGGGACCAAAAGGGATCGACGGAGGACGTCATTTAAAAACGAAACTTCCTTTTCCGTTTTCTCCTACGCCGCGTAGTTTCCGAATTACGCCCCTCCAAAGAACCGACCAATCAGAGCGCAGCATTCTTATTTCCGCTGTATCTCCGGAACCACGGGTCGTAGAAAAGAACGATAAAGGAAATTTCGTTGCGGAATCCTGTCCCCTGTCCATCGCGCCGGTCGCGAACGCCCCCTACCTGAACCAAGCCTGTCCGTTCGGGTACCGAAAGTCGGGACACAGGGTTTTGGAGTTTTTGTGAGGAGTTCTTCACTTTTTCAGCCGGTTCTCCGGCTGCCCAAAGTTGTAACAGGTGTCAAGTGCATTAGCCGTCTGCATTCTCCACCGGAGGTCGAACAGGACGCGGTCGCTCGATCCTTCCCGTAAATCTCCCAACTCATCTCTGATTTGATTATTCGTCAAGAAATAACAATTCATCGTAGAACTATTCATGATAAACCATTACTGACACATTACCTTTAAAGAAATTGATTTTGGAATAAGGCATTGTAATAATCAGCAAATTAATGGCACATTTTATATTCTCATATATTAAAATGTAATTTATAAAATATAACGGATGCAAAACTTTAATATTTGAACATACCAAACGTTGACGCAGCTGTATATACAGGTTTACAAAATTACAAATTGCCTACTTCGAATAATTGCAATTAAAAATACTGTCAATATTATTTTGCATGCCCTTTTTGTATGCAATTTATAGTGCCAAGTTAGCACACGCTAGTTATAGCTTATGACGAAACACAATCTCAGTAACGATATTTATTACTGAAAATTAATAACTCTTGTGGCAACTTCCAGGGTAAAATTTGAAAACAACCTGCATATATATACAAAGTACGCTCTCGAGGAATATACATTTTATAATGCTACAATGATCGACACAAATCATTAAATAAAAATTGTTACTTGAATTGATAAAAAAAATGGTCTCCATAGATACGTCCTTCGAACATATCACGCACAAGGAAAAACGTCAAAAAATGCTTTCATGATACAATTTAATTTATATTGTAATTCCAAAGGATTTCATACTTTAGACATTAATATATCCAATCTTATTCTTTATAAGATTAATCTTACAAGCTGGAACATATTTGATAGTACCCCCTTAACTTTAATCAATAATTAAGAAGGCTTGAAACTAAAAACACAAAATTAAAACGCGAGTACACAAATTTCCGCGCTGCAAAGACAGTCCTGTAAAAAATCTTTTTACACTATAACCGAACGAATTTAAAAAAACAGATATCTTACAGCCAACATTGTTGAATCATTACGTTTATCGCTTAAACTAATTCTAAGTCTAAGTGTCCCATTCTCGAAATTGCATTCGTTTTCCACCGGTATAGTCAAAAATAAAAAAAAGCAAAGAGAAATTTTCAATACTTCGCTCATTCAAGTCCATCTACCATCTGCAGGTATAAAATACAATTTTCTACAAATGTTGTACACGTTTAAAAAGAAGTAAAGCCATTTCGCTCTTGATAATTAGACATTTTATTATGCTGCGTAAGAATAAATGATGTTATATAATCTACATAAACTGACAATTTTCCCCCGGCTTCTTTGCAGCGTAAAAATTCACATTTCTTAGATACTAGAGATACAGATACAATTACAATAATAATGTATATCGATATTTTATACAGCCTAGTTCCTAAATAGGGCCTTATTTATTATACTCCACATGATTCAATCGTTCGTACTCGATCTTTGTCAGTATAACTTCGTGTCAATTTTGTTCCTCACGGAAGCTGGACACATGCTTTGTGCTCACATATAAGAAACACGGTGCGATTTAACAATCCCCAGAAATTGTCTCGATCCTCCGGGTCATTTCACTTCGATGGTTCTCTTAATAAGAGCGAACGTTGCATTACACTTGAGTCCTTGTAATCGTATTGTAAATATTCTCAGACTGCTATACTCACAATATTCACAACATACGGACACATCACAGCATCACCAACAAATCATATACTCAAGTGATGGATCAATAATTAATTTAAAAAAACGAAAGAAATTAACTTTTGCTTGACCGTCAGTGTGACCAGGAAATAAAATATAGAATATTACCTTTATCACAATTGCATGGTTCCATTTCTATGCTAGCCAAAGTTAGATGAAAATGGCAGATCACTTGTAACGTTACAACAAACAAATCCAGATCGATTTTTGCCGCAATTCCCGATACGTTGGATAATCACGGTCATGGTCCCATCGTGATGCATTTGGCCGTGAAGTCCGTCATAACTGTTCAAGGTTATGTGGACATACTATGATGTGTCAATGCCGTCGTGAGTCGAAATTACTTGAAATGATGTCCTCGGGCAAGAAGCTTGCGAGATCATTAGACGATTCGTAAACACTGGAGTATATTGTGCAGATCAGGCGGAATATCAAATTTGAAAGATCCTAACCCGTCCACCTCTCGAAGTCATTTGCTTCTTTGATTTGTATTCGAGTGCGTCACTGTTCTCGTCACCTACTGCGTAGCAGTGTCCGAAATGCTTTGACGCCACGTGGCGTGGAACGGAATTTTCAATATCTTGACGCGCGTCTTGGGTAACGCCGTCAAGAGCAACTTCTGCAACTGCGGTAACGGTAAGATGTCGACTTGAGGATTGGTCAAATGCGAATGCTTTTCATCGCCTGAGAATATATTTTAAAGAGTTCATTAGTTGCTTTGAATCGAAAATCCTGTAATTGGAATATATATTTTTTAAAGCATTTAACTTACCCTTCTGACTCTCGTCCTCTTCGACATCCTCGATCAGCTTTAAACAAGGAACCGGTTTCAACACCGGTATGGAGTCTCCGGTGACTTGTTTGCTCATCTGGTTACACTGATCGACGAACAATTCCGTGACCCTCAACAATTCCAGCGTAACACCCCAGACGAAATGTGTCAAATTGTTCGATAATTCAGTAACGCCACCAAGTACCATGTTATTCGACGTCGCCGACTGAGATATGTAGGTTGGTATGATGAGCAGTCTCTTAATGTTCTTGCAATTCGCAAGACATTTGTCGAAGCCATTCTTCACGTCAAAATTGACGAGCTCTAATTGATTTAAGTTTTCCAACTTGGAAACTCCTTCCAAGATGTCAAAGGTACAGCATGTACCCTGTCCCTTCTCTAACCTAAGCCGTTCCAATTTTGGCAGCTTGATCAAAATCGATGTACCAAACTTGTCTGGGAAATCCGAGCACTCGCCAAGCTCCAGTGTCTCGAGATTCGTTAACATCTGCAAAATCTCTATCTTCTTCTTCCCGAGCTCCTTGACAGATGTCAAGCTCTACAAATAGAAGACGCAACCATGATAAATCACCTAACCCCAAAAATCACAAGAGATCCAAGAGAAATATATATACGCTCACTCACCAAATGTGTCAGGCACGTTAAATCTTGTAGGGGCGTTAGATCACCTTGAAGAGACATCCCACTGGTTGCTTTTAATCTTAGTTCTTGACAGCGCTTCAGGTTTCCGACAGATTCTAGATTAAGGGTGTCGCATTTTATCGACATGGCACTTAGTACTTCCAACTGTGGGCAGCTTTTGATTACTTCTTCGACAACCATCACAGGACAGCGACACAGTTCCAACTTGACCAGGCTTGTCACTCGTGGAATGACTGTCACGAATTTCCTCCAGATGCCATCGGACTCTCCTGCGACCAACATTTTCCTCAAGTCTAAGTGCTGCGTACCACGTCTCTTCAGTGAATCCGCGAAACCGTCCCAGTCTGTCACTTGACTATTCTTCATCCGCACAGTTTTCCACAAAGAAGGATGAGCCGCCAGGTCTCGCCACATTTTGCAAACACGAGCCGCACGTAAAAGCTCTTGAACCTTAAGATACTGAAAGATGCGCGACAAAGCATGATAACCGGCACAAACAGAGAACATGAAGTGCTGCCGTTGATCCGTTTCTGCCTGGATCATCTGCCTCTTCCTGGAATTCAGAAAATACACCTTTGTTCACAACAATGTCCTGAATGATACACAAAAATTTGATTTTGACCACTGATACTCTGATAAAATACGTACTAACTACATCTTACTCATAAAATCATTTTTTTGAAGATCACAATGTTCGATCTAATGCAAAAAAAAATTACAATTTTCTTGTAAGAAAATGTTACTTAAGAATTTTTTACATTAGTATCGCAGATCTTTACGCTACCAGATTATTAAAAAAAAATATAGATATACTAATGATGTAAATGTCGAGTTGGAAGCAGGATAGTGTGTGAGGGATTGGAAAGACTTATAGGAAAACGCACTAAATTGTTTTTTGTGTTTCGGCTCGCACATGTCTTTATATCTGCAAATATAAAAAGTAAAAATGAATTAGATTTTTTCCACTGAAGCACTTATTTTAATAGCTGGTTTCATAATTGTAGCATTAACGTAAAGATTCACTGCGAAAAAAAGTTTCGACAAAGCATGCCATTTATAATAATCTTTATTTACAAAACTTGTAAGCATTCCACGTTATTTTACCTTGATACTACAATTACAGAACGTCAGAAGTGAAGATACGATTTAATCTTTTGTTCACAACTTGTTAAGAATTTGGCCACATTTCGAAGCTAAGGCAGTGTGCTTCGATCATAAGTGAAAATCAAATTCATTTTTCACGTTGAACTTTTATATTTCCAAATATAATAAACATTAGTATATATTGCATTTACAAATTGGAGTAAACAAATTATATTTTTTTTTTTTCACGAAAGGAAATATTTTAATCAGTCTCTGAATACTTTATAACTTCCAAAAAAAGAATGCAATCAACAAATTATTCTTGTTCAACAAACAACTGAACCTGAATTATACGGGTAAATCTTGTAAATACAATATGTACAAAGCAACTGCCAAAACCTCAGACGGGAAACCTTAACTTATAAGTCAAATTAAAATCAATTATTTAAAGTATTCCAACATCGCTTACTTGACAATGGATTGTATAATTTGACTTGGATCGTACGTTGGCGTTGGACTCAGACGATCGTCCACAGTCTCTGCAAGAACAGGAACATCCTGCTCATCCACTGCCGGAGAAACGGTCACAGGACTTTCTACTTTTTTAGTCTCCGCAGTCTTTGGTTCATCGGTATTACTCAACAAATTGATCGGTTCACTCGTTATCGAGTCATTAACATCTACCGGTTCTGTCTTCAAATAATTCTCTGTCGACTCTTCTGATTCAGAAACCAAAACACTCGGTGTAACGATTGCAGGGTATGCTATATCCTGTATACTGTTTTTATTATCAGATTGGTCTAAATTAATGGACTCACTATCCGACACATGGGAAATTATTGAATTCTCCGCTAAATTAGACGCATCTGGAATTGGAGTTTCTTGAAGAACGGGAGGTTTGTCGCCAATTTTCTCCGGTTTTACAGTTATTGCCGGTTGTACCGCCATTGCATTGTTCTTGGGAACAACTATATACTTCTTTCCAGCCATAAGGGCTATGTTTTGAGCAGGCTTTGGCACACTACCGTCGTGGCTGTGTAAAAATTCATTTCCCCCTTGTGGAAACCATGAACCTTCTTTCTTTTCGGTCGCAGTAGCTGTGTTGGGAACCGCAACTGCTTTGGAAGCCTTAGAAACATTTCGCGTCTGTTGCTCCGTAGCTTCGGATTTTGGAATTCTTTGTAATTTCGGTGGCGTCAAGTTGACCTGATGCTTCGGCTTTGAGTTCTGGGCACCTAACATACTTATTGGAATTAACGGGGGAGGAGTGAGACTCTGACCACCAACTGATTGATGCTGCTGAAGCGTTTCATCCGTATCTGGTTGACAGTTCTATAAAAAATAAACAGAACCTACGGTACTTATCGAACCTGAAACCTGAGGTTTTACATATTCTTGCAGTACAACTTGGTTCATAAATTTCATCACTTTGTCATTCGCAAAAATCATACCTTACAAACGTAGTCTTCATTGCCAGCAGATTTGACTCCATCGACACATTCAGGATGATATAAGCAGAGACAAAGGCAACACTGTAGACTGGGTATCAAGCCCATACTTGTCGAACATCGTATGCTGCACGGTTCCTGAACTTTGGCCCTGTAAGATGTGCGTTCACAGGAGGGAAAAGGGATCAAGAGGAAGTAGTAAACAAAAAAAAACAGAGTTACGATAGTAAATTATGGATGAGGAATGTTAGGAATATACAAATAATAAGGAGAGGGAAGGAATATTTTCTGAACAAATTTTCTCGTCATCTATTATACATTTTTAACCAAATAGCGGTCAAGCCAATTTTAAAACTGTCTAGTCAAATAAGGCTCACAGACCAATTTGATAACGTGAGTCATAAAATAGAAAGTGTAGACAAACTTACTTAAGATTTCTCTTGGGCTTGACAATAGGCGTTTTTTCGACAGGCTGTTGACTGCGCCTTGTCGCTGCTGGTGAAGTCCATTGCGGTGGAGGTGTTTCGACTTCCTTGGGTGGTGATTTGATTTCTAATGGATAATACATCTCAATTAGTATCAAGTGTCTAGCTATTAACATTAGTTAGAAAAAATCTGTCCACAACGTACTTCTCGGGGCCCCTCTTTTGCCAGGAAGTTTAACTTTAAACCCAGCGGGACTCATTTTAGGTGACTTTGGAGTGGCTTTAGTTGGCTGGGGTATCGGAGGATCTTCCACAGGTACTGCTGGTTTTCTACCAGGCTTCCTACCTGGAGTGCCCTTTTTGATCAGTTTAGGTGTGACCGGTCCAGAATCCTACAAGATTTCAATGTTAACAATCTAATTTAACGAAAACTAACATTGTATGCAAACAATAAATTATACCCGTCCTCTTTTAGCATCTCGAATAACTTCTTTCTCAGGATCATTGACACCCGTAGGTTCTTTGAAGAATGTGAAGTTGTCTATAGTTAACTCCTTTGTATTAACTGCAAAATTGAATTTAATCGTTGTATCTACTTTTCGTTAAGTAATACACAGTGCATCAGATTCTAATTGTGTACTTACGAAATTCAGCAACTTCTCTAAAACTCCTCACTTTCTTGCCCTTTGGTGTGTAATAGTAAATATCAGCCATTCTTTTTACACTACTTTCTGATCCTGCCCTGAACACCAATTCTCGCCTCCAACCATACTTAAATGGTTCTTTGAATGCAGGATTCGTCATATCTACTGGAACTTTTTGTTTCGTCCCACTCCCAGGACTGGCCCCACGTGAAAATCTGCTTCCTTTTGATCTCTGTGAACCTGCAGATGGACTACTGTTTGCAGACGAATTTGCTGATTTGGTGGAATCTTCCGACTTGTGTGGCTCAGCTTCTGACTCAAGACTATTTGGTATTCCAATTGACTCTGTTTCAGACTTATCTGATTCTTTTTCTTTCTTAATCTTTAAGGGGTCAATGAGATCTGTGCCTTTAACAATAGATATTAAACTACTACTTGATCCAACAATGTTCTTTTCCCATAAACTCTCAAGAACCTTACCCAAGTGCTTAGTAGGTGGCCGTCCTCTGCGCTTGACTTGTGGAGGCTCCGCCGACTCTGCCTCGGCTGAAGTAATATTACAAAACTAATATTATAATACGTCATACTATACATATTTTCATATAGCAGTTAACTCCACTCGTCGATACATCGTTAGCAAGAAATGAAAAATTAATATCCTAAACCACTGAAGTGCAAAGGATACGGAATATATCAAGTTTTTCATGAAAGGAAAAATCAATCTAGTAAACTGGTGCGTTTCAAAGGTCTCGTCACTTGGTCATTATACAAGCCTGCATTTCTAGCATTCGTACGGGACGATGTTATTGGTTATCGGTACAGTGAGTAAAAAAAAAAATATAATCACCGATCAGTTTTTTAAGAACGTGATTGCCCGGTTCCAGATCCTCGGTACCCTGGGCATCGAAGCCATTGAACTCCGCAGACCCTTCGGAGCTGGCGTCGTCGGGCTCCGACAGTTTTCGCTTCCGTCCCCTCGTTTTCGGTTTGTCACTCTCTATTGTGCTGGTTGAGTTGGCCTTGAATTTGCGCAGCTTCCTCCTGACGCCCGGTGATCCTTTTTTGATCGTCCCCTTGAGGTCACCGTTAACCTCCTGCTCGTCCATCTTCGGACTCTCCGAGGACGCGTCCAACGACTCCTCCTGCGAATCCGGTACACCAACGTTTTCTAGGTTAGGATCATCGCGCGCCACTTCGGCGTTCCCGCCATTCACGTCGGCGCCGTCCATCCTGCCGTGCCTTGGGGCCGGGGGTCGGCCCAAGCGCGCCGGCGAGCCTACGACCGTCCGGAAAAAGCGGCGGCGTCGAACCACGATGCGATGCCTCGCCGGACTTGGCGACTGCGCTTCGAAATAAACCTACGCTTCGCTCGCCAACCGTGGACCCGCACTCATCTGTCCCCACGGGTGCACGAACGCGCGCACTCGCCACTACCCGCTATTTACACGGACTCACGGCCTCGCCGCAGCCGTCCGCCGAGCTGGCGCACATTTTCACGAACCGGGCGACCCACCTCCCCGACAAACACCGTATTTCCGTCCTTAGGACGCCCTGTCTCCGCAGGCAAGTCCAAAGACGCGAATCTCGGGAAGCGAAACGACGGCGGCACCGACCAAGCGCGAGCGTACGCAGAACCGTGGAATGCAAAACCGGAAGTCACTCGACTCGATTCGACTACACTCGAATGCCCGCGGAGTTGCCGGGCCGAGACCGAGTCGCTTCTCACCACGGCTTTGCCGCATCGAGGGAGAGCGGGAGGCGGAGCGAGGGAGGAGGCGAGAGATTCCGCTACTTTCACGTATACCCTCGGAGATACGTACATGTATCTTTGTTTCACTTATGGAAAGACTGAGTGCGAGGGAGACCGCACGGTCTCCCGGGCTGCAGGGTGAGGGAGGCGCATTAGACAGCCTTGTATCAAACCGATCTTAACCTCGAATGCATTCGACGCCGTGACACTTTGTCGCTAGGAGCCACGCGATTGGACGAGCCCGCTTGCTTCGTTTCGCAGCTTCCTCCTGCCGCCGCCTTTTACCAATATGCCGCTATTTAATTTTTCTTACCCGTGATCGGCGTTAAAAATCGAAATTATTCCGAGCTACTTGATTTTTCCCGAGTTACGCCGAGTTACGTAGTGTGTTTTAGCGGATCTGGATGCGTACTATAGCTTGGTGATGAGGAGACTTTTTAACAGATTTTTTTAGGTTGGTTTATACCTTTAATGGGGCCCCTCGATAATTATGTCGAACGCCGGCTTTCCCGCGTCGTTTCGTGCCCGTTGATGTTTCGCTCAGTCTCTGTCGGCTCGATGGATCGTGCAAAATCATCTTTGCGCCTTTTTCCTTGAAATCTAAGAAAATAAAACTACTAATTACTCTGCCGAATACACTGATTTGAAGTCTTGCGACATGAACTACAGCTTTTGCGGTCGAGACAAAGATAGCCCAGTACGAAAGCTTATTCATGAATTCGAAAAATCATCATTTTGTTTTTCCACAAATATTCATTATTTGTGGAAAACTGCATCGGATACAATCCCTCGTATTTTGTCGATGTTATCAAATTAATAATAAAGCATTCGACTTCGAAGATTCTCCCGTAACCTCGGTATGACTTTTTTAGAACGGCATAGACGGAAAGTAATTTTTTATCGAATCGTGCAGTAACTAAACTGGATGGGGATAAATATTTATTTTGTTACCGCTCGCACCTGTTTCACTCGCCACGTGGTTTGCAAAAATTTGAATCGATGGCTATGGGCAGTAGTGCCAACCAAAATTTGAAACTCGATATATGAGTAGTATTTTATTTGTTAATATTTCTGATGAGGTAATGTATATCGCGTAACGATAATTTGAAAAAAAAATCTATGCTTAGAATTATAAAAAATATGTGGTTAGAATATTCATACTCTCATGAAATATATAAAGTTATTTCGTCGCGTGAAAAAAAACTTTGAAGTCGAAACATAATTGACGTAAGTGTCCGCCAATCACGAGCGAGCATTCCGTTAGATTGCTGGGAAAATCGTTCCTGATTGGCTGAAAGGTAGATCCTTATTCAACCTTACATCCGAGCTTGTATTGTGTTGCGGAACAGGCTTACGTACAGTAGTTCATCCGTACAGGTGTACGTGCCCCGTACTTGTGTGCGTAATCTTTAAAGCAAAAGCAAGCAAAAGTAGCTTCTCTATCGCGCATCTGTCGTATGATCCGCCAGTGGCCTTATTTATTATTTTCAATGTCGATATATCAGAGGTGTAGCAATTATGCTCGGGTGAAGTGAAAACCCCGCTTGGTCTCTGCATGTGCGGTTACGTGTAAAAGGTGGGACCCAAGGCTTGATACAACATTTTCTTCCCGTAATGATAAAAATGTGAAGCGTTGCTTTGCAATTCGTTTTCCATCCTTTCCTCGCCTTTAAAGGTGACTGCTCTGTGTACTCGATTCAATCACGAATTATGGGCTGACGGTACAATGAATGTTTAATCTAACTGCACTTAACTGTTCACATTAATGGCTGTGAGGAATATCAATTTAGTTCACCATTTTGCACTCTCCAGTATTCACTCCTTTGTAACAGCGAGCGAAAGAATTTTAGCTGATTCTCAATGAAGCGTCTAAATATTCTGCCTAATGTGTTTTCGGTGTGAAAGTAACGCGTTATCTTATTTTTTTTCCATGATTGGTCATTACGCTTGTTGTTAATAAGTAGGTGACGGCCACTTGATCGGTTTGCAAAATGGATGTCGCGCTTCTCATATGATATAGGTAGCTCGAGTGCATGTTGAGAAGTATATCGGTAAAAAGGATTTATTTTTTAGGGAAAAGCGCGTCCTTCAAATGGAGCGTGTTTTAAAAGCTGTGCCAGCGGATTTAAGAGTAAAAATGGAGGCGCTTGTGCATGACTTAACGTTAGCCCTTGAAGAAAGTAGCAACAGTGCAAACGTTAGACGCAGATGGGGCATCAGAAGACGAGCTCGTTCTACGGGAAACATTCGTAAGTGTAAGGGATTTTTAATAGTATCGAGTATACATTGACATTTAATAAAGAATGTATCATAAATTTAATGTTTTTCAATATTTTCGCATTTGATAAAAGCAGGTATTGAATTTCAATTTCACAGCTTCTTTGAGTGCCAATAAACATTCAGATGACAGTTCATCCTCCATCTGTGATGCTCGAATTCCAAAAAATTCTATTTCAAAGTATCAGTCCGACAGTGATGATACTAATCAAACAAAAAGATTTGCACGATTTTCAAATTTAAATAACATCAGTAATATTGAAAGTGATTCGGTTAATGAAAATTCTGTGCCCAGAACAAATATGAGACGTAAACGGAAATTTAAAAGAATGGCAGTCGATTCCGATTCAAATCCATCTACATCCCAAGCTGCTGCAATTATAACAAATTCTGTTGGCAAGAAAAAAAGGATGTTCCGAAATGATTGCAGAAATCGATACGGAACAATATGGTATGATGCTACATATCTAAAATTATGGAATACTAATCTAAAAAAATAGTGTTAACTTTCTTAATTACATTTATTTTTAATATAGGTGTGGTAAACGCAAAAGATCATGCAGGGAACGTTCTATAGATTGTGAAATGCGTTCCCCAAAACCAACAAGGATATCAAAATCTAAAAGCCGAGGAAAAATTCAAAGTGAAGATGCAATGGATTGTTCTCGCGTCTCAAGTTCAAGCATTTCATCCAGTGATTCCGAAGCTGGCATTATTACAAACGATGAAGATTGTGAAGGTAATATATTTACTTTCATTATTAATATAATAAATATTTATTATTATTATATTTATTTATACAGGTGATGACGAACAATCCGACTGGATCGGAGAATCAGGATGGTTTGAAGAAGGAGAAAGTATAAATGAAGACAAAGTCACATCAGATCCTGCTTTCCAGGCAATCTTACAGGGAAGTTTTGAACATTTAACCGATGAAGTAAGAAAAATGTATAAGCAGCGGATACAATGGATTCGAGATGGTTTAAATGGTAGAGAAATTCGTGCAGGGCGTCGTCACGTCGACAACAAGCCTGGGTATTCGATTATTACATCTGCCAATGAGAAAGTATCGCGATTTTTACAAGATCCTACTCAAAGTGAATTGAAACTACATCCTATGCGTCAACCTGAACGCGAGAAACTGCGTAGGCTAGCCAATTTGTACAGCCTGAGTTTAAAAGGTGATTTAAGTTGCCCTGTTTTATATAAAACCCGACACACTACACAAGCCATTTGTGTAGATCAGGTGTCGCTAAACAGATTTTCCGATTATAAAAGACTGAGGAAAACTCCACCGAATTCTCCAAATCCAGACTCTACGATGCCGAACCAGGAAATTCAAATTTCTAGTACAAGTTTTGGAACACAAATTATAAATCAGAACCAAAATATTGGTTCCATGCATAATTTGCCACAAATTCCTTGTTTCCAGCGTAGCATACACGTGGAACCAGATATTCTAATAAAACCAAAATTTCATAGTTTTGGACATTCTAAGTCCAGTTAAATATTATGACTGGTACATTACTGATTTAAATATTATAATTATATTTGTAGTAAACTTGGTATGTATACCAAACTGGGCAAGATAGTAACACAGGTCTGACAATGAATGAAATTGTATAGCAACTTTGCACATGCAGTTAATCTTTGAATGTCCCATTGGTAATTTTTTGTACTGTAACTTCCCCATTTTTAAAGGTATAATCCTTATTTTAAAGTAAATTGGTCATCTTATGTAAAAAATGTACATTAAAAATTTGTAGAATAAATAATTAACGTAATTTTCATATATCATAATTATTCGTGCACAAAAATGTCTTTAACACTTATAGGTTTTATTTCTTATGGGAATGAAAAGAACAATCCTCGTATAAAATAAAACAATTTTTATTACTTAATGTAATAACAGTTACATGACTAAAGTAATGCAAGGATGAAACAGCAATGTGATTACAGCAGAGGAACAGTATTTATTAATTCGTTTGACCTAATTTCTTTGCAGCTGCCATAGCATTCTCGTTGGCAATCATTTGAAACTCTTGAAACCGTTGCGACACTCTTTGGTTCATTTTCAGATACTTTTCCATACAATTTAAAGCACACTTTTCTTCTTTCGCCCTGATGTCACGTGTCGTAAAATCCATGATGCAGTCAACAAAACATATCTCCGACAACTTATTGTACGACGTCAAGAAGTCACGAAACTGAAGCACATATAAAATTAATCATTTTAATAATATAGATAAACACCTTATTTCATAGTACCTAAAACAAATGAAAATCATATCAGAAGAAATGTATTTGAAAACTAAAAGTACCGATTTCACTTGTTCAGCATCTACGTCAGCCGGCATTTGCATAGCCATTCTTGATTAAACTGGAGTTTTGTCAATCTTTTGCTAATTTCCTGCACATGCGACAAAACACACCAATCTTAGAGATTTGAGGTTAGAAAACATCGTCTGCTGTCATTGGAATACAGGCGTTCGTAAAACGATCCGAAATAGCCCGTAATTCCTCTTGCAGCAGACCCTAACCTACAAAGTGCTAATACAAACGAAAAACAAGTTCTTCATACAGTAATCACATCTTTGAGGAAAAAAAAACAATTCTGTACGTTTACTCATCGAAATAAGATTGGCTGAGTTCTTCCTTCCCCCATTACCCAAAGAAAATCACAACAATAATAATCAATAATGGACTAATTCAAAATGCAAAAATATGTAGGATGATCTAAACTACAATAATGATACAAGTAAACTTCAAATTACATTATCATATTCTTACTAAGTAAATTCACAATGGCAAGATTAGAATGCTCGAAAATTTTTTAAAGAATCGGTGATTTTACGAATATCATAAATTTAAGGTTATGCGACTCTCCCGCTTTTCCGACGTTGATAAAACTATCAAAAATATACTTATCCCGCCATAAACAAAGAATTGTCGGTAAAACAGACATGGGGAACAGCTGCGTCGAATCGGAAGCGGGTCTGACAGGTGACAGCCGTCGGTTTGGAACAAAAAGCCCCTCGAAACGCAGTACGGTACAATCGTTCCTCAAAATGTAGTCGAATATTTCTAAAATACAGCAACGGAGACGCGTACAATTTCGACATTTAGAAAAGAACATTGCGAGACAAACCTTCAAGTTTCTAAAGATTTTTGCGCGTCGATTAATACTTGAAAATATCCTAAAGCTTTCTCAGTCATTGGTGATATTTCGCTTCGCATTTTCCGTTTATATTCACTTCCCCTCTCGGTCGACTTTTATTTCAAAGCTGCCAAACAAAACGACATGATCGTAAGTATATCTCGACCGGGCTGAAATATTACGAATTGAATTAATAACACGATCAATGATAAAAGTACAAATTTCAAATAGTAAATTGAACTAGTACATCGCCATCGTGCATAGATGGCGCCAGTGTACTCTCCTCCGCGGTTGTAATTCAAATTTTAAAATATTAATGTCGGTACGTTTTTTTGCAGAGTGAAGCCAAACCGACCCACGTGTTTAAACGTTCCATGGCTAAAACAGTTAATGGACCACATAAGGTCACAAATCATTTGAAAACATCCAAAATGCAGTTAACCTCCCAATTGATACCTAAAAGTAAAAAGTTATCGTTCGGCAAAAAAATGCAATCGGGAAAAAATGAACTCGCGGCTTCGGTGAAAGCGAGCACTTCCGGTTTGTCAAAAGATTCGGCTAAACAAAAATCCCAATACTCGATCGAAACGTCGCTTTCCCAAAAAGAAAGTAAACCGTACAAAGTGAAACAATTTACGGAAAGACCGCAATCCCAACGATCAGCTGACTCCAATTCTACGAAACCGGAAGAAGAAGATCCAGTGTCGTTGTTGCGCCAGGAAGTAAATAATTGGAGAATTTACGAGGCACAAGTAAACAAAGTAGAGGAAAAATTGGCAAGAATTGAAACCGCGAGGATAAACACCAGTAAGTTTTGCAATAAAGTTCAGATAAATTATGGCCATTATTAAATTGCACATTCTCTTGCAAGGAACCATCGTAAATTTAGTCTGAAAAACTTTCAAGATCAGTGCGGATAATTGTTCTCATTGTTGCAGGCTCGAATAAATTAAGTGAGCGTTATTTACATTTTATTCTCATTATTTCTGTTCCATTAATCCAGTAAGGACTCAAATAACATGTGCCGAAATAGCTCAGTTGGGAGAGCGTTAGACTGAAGATCTAAAGGTCCCTGGTTCAATCCCGGGTTTCGGCAACTTTTTTTACAAGTTTCCAATATTCGCTTCATATTTATATCATAACTAGCTCCTACAAAAACACGTGCCGAAATAGCTCAGTTGGGAGAGCGTTAGACTGAAGATCTAAAGGTCCCCGGTTCAATCCCGGGTTTCGGCAGCTCTTTTTTTTTTTCGAATATTTTTTATTACCAAAGTTGCTAGTAATAATTACAAGATAGACTAATCGGTTCCTTTTTTATTTCTAGATACAACGGTCTCAAGATTTTCCGACATTCTACGCCCGAGAGGAAAACGATCCGACGACCGCACCAGTGGCTGCAACGAGTGAGTGGGACATCTAATCGATTTACGCCGACAATAGCAAATAGACATTGCGTTTTCTTTCAACCGTAACTGAATCTCGAGGTACGCGTCCACCTCGATTTTCCATAATTCGCAATTTCGCTCATTCGCGACACTTAACCGCGTTTCTGCCCTCGCCTCGAGGTTTTTCCGTCGGCAGTCTTGCAGACGAGTGTTCGTTCCACCAGTTTCCAGGAAAACGAAGCTATGACAAAGGTAAGTGAGTAGTTAATTTTAAAATGCAAACCGCCCGTCTTATCGGTCGAACGACTTACGAACGAGACACCCTGGTGTCCGTTTTCTGGGCGATTCCGTCACTCCCCATGGGTCGCGAAATCCTCGGGAAAAATAAGAGACGAGTCCCGGTTACATAATCGGCTGCCAATAAAACGGACAAAGAGTGGACAGACGTCGTTGGGGTCACATGTACACGGTGGAAGAGCCACGTCATCCAGGAATTTTCGAAAGTCGTCGCGGCGGCAACCGGTTTCGATTGTGTACGCGAAGACGTAAAAGCAGTCCGTAACCGTAAACTTCGCGAGGCTCAGATTTCTATATTATATACGTATCCCCCTTATATATCGGACCGCTGACACGAGGATTCCGGGTAAGCCGAACTGTGGAAGTATTTTACCATGCAAAACGAAGTGCCAGTTGCAGAATTGCGTACAACAATAAGAATCAAGGGTACCGACCCTCTGTCCTTTAAAGACGCACTTTTTAATCACTGGACATAGTTATCGTTGTCAATAATGATCAAAACGTCCGTAAGGCGTTCTTGTTTAACGTATGATTCAAGCTTCAAAATAATTCCATCTTCATGGGAGGAATTGTTTTCTTCTTATGGCGACACCCCTCTCTTCGTAGTCTATGGACGACTCGGAATCCGCAATTGGCGATTCGCGTTCTGAGATTCTGACCGGACTCATAACTCCGGCCTAACCCGGGGCTCTGTACTCATCGACTCGGCGAATACATCGCTCCGGGTAAGTCGAAGCCAGTTAATACGGAGCATTAAGAGAAACGAGGTTAACTTCCTCTCCACGACGGCGTCGAACGAGCGAGGGTGAGAGTCTCGATTGGGCGCGGATGGGCGCGACAAGTCGAACGAATATCTTGTTGTCGTCTATTTTAAGTAACCCGCTGGTTGACAGCGCGATCACGATCGAAATATGTTAATGAGTACAGTGCTGTAGGTTAGTGAGAACAATGGGCCGCTTGTTAATGGACGCTCGCACATGCCGGGCGCGTCCCGTAGTAAAAATATTTTCGGCAGAGGGTCGCGCCGCGAATCGCTAACGAGCTCTGGCATTACCGGCCTCGAGTCGACTCGCAAAAAGCTTTATTTATCGGCCCCGAGTCCCCAGGGACTCCTTCGCCCCTGGGATCCGATTCGCCGATCGGTTCCGCGAGAACGTAACGACGTCTGACTCGCTGCGGTTAAGTCAAGGCATACCGGGTGCTCGACATTTTCCGGCATCTTCATTTGGATTCATTCCGATTTATTTTCCCGGACCGTAACCGGAGTTGCAAGAAAAATCGCGAGTAAAGTGACCAACAGTGAGTGATCGGGACGACGAGAAAAAAGAAGAAAGAAGTTGACCAGGTAAGGTTATGTTATATTTCGTCCCAGATGTTTAATCTCTAAACACTAACTTTTATACGAAGACAATGTCTCTATGGGGTCTGAAAATAGGGAAGGGTGTATTTGAAAAATATTGGATTTAGTTGATCTATTAGTGGTTTATTTTCTTGTTAAGCATGTAACTGCGAACCACGGTCGCGATATCCAGGGAACGTCGTAGAGGTCGCTCGAAGGGAATTTCATAGGAACTCCGTTGACTCGTCGGTCTCTTCATTAAATCGAAAAAGAAGTCCGCGTCGAAGGCTGTCCAGATTGGTAACCACGATCCGGCGTTGTCAGCTCATTGCTGTAATGATGTAGGTTAGGTTCCCAGCGGCACGCATCTTAAAAATGGACATTCTTCGCCAACTCGCCCCCTCCCCCGTAAAAAGCGCAACCGGTTTCCCCTGTAAATGGCACACGGGCCTCGGGACGCCCCGCGAACTTCGGTCACTCGATTTTATTTATTTATTTTTTTCTTTTCCACCGATTTCAATTCTCCTCGACGGACTGGCCGGCCGCGAATCGAACGGCCGGAAATCCAATATCCGCCCGATGGCGTCCCTCCAGAAGTCGTGAATCGTTATTAAGCGGACTTGGTTTAAAACGACGATAAATCGTCTTTACAGCTACGGTTGCAAAGGCTCGCGAGGACGAGCTCGTCGGTCTATTACTTTGCGGTTTGACCCTAAGATTCGTCCGGGCGAATTGCTTCGTTCCGTGGCGAGATATCCTTTGTGTTTTTACTTCCTCGTCGTGCCAGTCAACAGGAAGTACCGGACCGAGTTACGGTCGCGATTAGATGGCTTATTTCGATAATTTCACTCTTTGGCTCTAACGGATTCTAATCCCGCGATCCGTTCTCTGCGCATACAAGATGGCGGCCGAAAAGAGGTGGAAAGAAGTCGCGGTTATTTGGCTCCTGCTCAATTTACCGTAACGCGGGATAATTCTTCCCTCCGCCCGGACTTAAATAATTCCGAAGCAATGAATGAACTTTTACATGTAAATGTGGTTGACGGTACAAACCTACGCAGATACAATTTAGCCTTACAGAGAGCCTTAAAACTCCCTGGGGATATACGAGACCGTTCACGCCATTCGCGTTATTTATTTCCTGTTTAAATCGACCAACTCAGCTCGATTTAATAATAGAGATGTATCTAAGCCTCGGGGGAATAATTCGTCTCAGGGTATATCTCTCCCCTGCGAACAGTCCGGGGGCTTTGGGAGATGAGGTTAAGGTCGAGATTGGAGAATTCGGGTCGCTTTTTGCCGAGCGTGCGAGCGAAAAAGGCTCGCCGAACCGAGCGTCGTCGTTAGGTGATCCTAAGTGGGGCACGACGCAGCGGGTTCGCCAACCACGTTTTTTACGTAACGCTACGCGCAACTCGGGGCGTGACGTCAGCAACGTGGCAGCATCCGCCGTGGCGTGTCGCCCCGCGCGACGCCACGCAGGCAGCGGCCAGTAGCAACAGCGACGGCGGCGGCGGCGGCGGCGCAGGCGGCGGCGGCGGCGGCAGGGCGGCGGCAGGGCGGCGGCATGAAATTCTTCCGATGAAAGCACGGCATAGTTGCAGGAGGCGGCAACGCCGCGAACGTCTGCTAGGTTCAAGGGTACGAGCGGAGGTTGGTCCCACGGCGGCCAGACGCCGAGAGACCTACGGGCGCAAGTCCGCTTTCATCCAACGGGAATCTTCTCGAACCCGGCCGCAGGGCCGCACCGCCGCACCGCCGCACCGCGATCGGTCGGACATCTCGTGGCCGCGACTCACTCTGCATCGTCGACGGGAATTTTCAAATATTGTACACACGAATAATTAATTCTAACCAAGAGACGCGGTACTACCTCGGACAAAGTTAACGTTAATTGTGGAATAAATAATGAGCAATACGCATCGTCACTTTATTTTATTGCTTGTATATTTCACGTTTACGATGCAGCGGTAAGATCGGTACTTGGAGGCGGAATGAGAGGAATTGGAAGTTATGGAGGTTCCGATGGCGGGGTCGGTCTCCGGATTTTTTGAACGGCGTGATTTTGACGGACACCCTCGTAAAAAATGTCATCCAGCATGTCTGGACTTTTGCGTCTCAATGCCGAGTTATGTGTAATTAACCCGGGAGCAATTAATCTTAAAGTACGTCGAGGCTGGCGTAAGGTCCACCAGGGAAGCTATAATTACAATCATAAATCGGTTTTTATCAAAACGTTAATTACTCTCTCCGGTATGTAGGACGAAAGTTGAATTATACTTAATAACGACGTTACGTATTCATTGGGATGGGATGGAAACGAGTTTTTGGAACTAATGCCGCGGCGTACGTCCTGATTCATCCGACACTTTGGATGTCTCTAAAATGTATATTTTATAGGAATATGTCCCTGGTAGAGAGTATCGTTTATCGCGACGAGTAATAATAACGATTGTTCATAAATTACACGTAATGTTGGAGGCACGCACGCCGTTATTACGGGTATAATTCACTTTCTATCGGAACGATAATTAACCCTCTCTGTGCTTGGTGTAACAGTTGGACTGTGCTTAACACGGTCGTTGAGTACTCGCTGGCATAGAATTGTCTAGAACGATAGAACGATTTTGGCTTAAAATTCGATCGTTGAAATCAATGGCGAGCGAAATTTATAGAAATCCGTCTATCCGATCAGCCGGAAGCGCGGGCTACAAATTCCCACTAAGAAAGGATAATCCTTTAATTAATCCGAACAATGGTACAGCCAAGTTACATAACATTCGCACATTTATAAGGATTAAGCCCCGTGCCCATTACGAAAGGACAAACGTCGCCGGCAAACCATGATCTCATATACGATGTCACGATTTCGTAACGATATATATATATCTGAGCGTGAATATCGAAAGCGGCAATGATATAACGATTGCGACACGGACTGTGTAACCGTTGCAGCAGGTATTTCATGAATCTATAACTCGAAACGATAATATCAATAATGTGCAGTGGTTACGTGTTTTAGGGTTGCAGTCGTTAGATAATCCCTGATTTCAAAATCGGTGACTTAACGCACCTACTTTAATGACAGTCTACGGTGTTATTATGTTTCGAAGCGCGGAAAATTTAAGCGTCACGATATAACCAAGATGGCGGTGGGTGAGAAATTTTTTTTTCTGTCTTCTTTAGTCGTTGTGTCGATTGAGTAAAACTGCGAGTAGAAATACGAAGTGGCCATGATTTGTGCTCGCATGGCGAACCGTTGCGCGGCCCTGGCGTCTTGGCCACGGGAAGCGGATTTACGACGCTCTGACACTCGGTCGCGCGATGTGGGCTGCACTCGCGCGATTCGCAGAACCCGAGTCATTGTTATACCCGAGAGGGGGGACTGGGTTTATAATTTCAAGAAGGGAATCCAATTAAAGGAACGAATGCCTTTGTTCGCTCACCTCGTCACCACGCGGTTAACCTGGAAAACGTAATAGTGCATCACGCGTATGTGAATGCAACTACGTGGCGTAGGTCGTTGAACGACTTTCCGGGACTTTTTCTGACACTTTGGTGTCGATGCTTCAGTCGATGATTCTTTCGGCGATACTTGTTGCTGCGTTTGTTACCAGCACATCGCATGACCGGTGCGGTTAACTTAACGTGCCGTGGTTTCGACGAGATTAAACGGTACTTCTTGGTACACTGCACGGAATCGCGGAGATCGGTCTCATCAGATACGTTATAATTTGCTGGCATATGGTTTATACTCACGCGCTACTGGGCATGGTCAAGTTTTGCGGTAATGCGAGAAATGTTAAATCGTGTGCCAGGTACGCCAGATGGGACCGTTAAGATTCGGTTTAGTCGGTGCAGTTTGCGAGCGTATCGTTGAAATCCCGCGGTGACGAAGTTTTGTGGCAAACCAAGAAATGAAACGGTACTCAAAGTACGCCAGACGGAACCGCTGAAATCGATTTTGTCGGATACGCTGGGTTGCCGGTGTATCGTTCGAAATCACGCGCTACTGGAGCATGGTTCCTTCAAGGAACACCCGGAAACGAGGGCAGCACCGTCGCCGCGGACCGGTGGAGTCGGGTACAATGATTTTCGCGAAAGTGCAAAAATCCTTTAGCCTCGGTGTGCCCTAGAAAAACTAGGGAATCTTTTGTGCCGGTCCACATTATATTACGCATTCAGGGCGTAGCATCTGCCTAATCGCACAATAGATCCAGGGTACGTTTCGCCGAGGCCTTTATTGCGTCTGAAAGGGTCCGATGGCGTCTGAAAAGGGTCTACTGAAATCTTAAAGACGACGTAACATCTGTTCTTTTTAACGACACCGGAGACCGGGGATGCGGAAGAAGGGCGCCCTGCAAACGGGAAGTGACAATGAACATCTGCTTTCCTACGCAGGATTTACGGGCCTGACGCGATTCTTAAAATAACTCGGAAAGTTACCCGCTCGCGTAATCTGCGCACATGGTAATTTACTTACATTTTCGTAACGTACGCACCAACGATTTATTCCCCCTTGGTTCACGGACATCTGTACGCATATCCTGCACGTGTTCCCCTCGAACTCTGCATGTTGAATGTACTTCGATCGAGCAACGATATCGCAAAATTACAAATGAAAATATTGAGTTAATCGTTATTTTCCTGCATAAAGGGAAACGTACCGCTAAAGAGGTTCGAGTCACTCAGGATCATCAGAAGCCTCTTTAGCTCAGTGGCAGAGCACTGGTCTCGTAAACCAGGGGTCGTGAGTTCAAACCTCACAGGAGGCAGTTTCTTTTTCTCCTTATAATTCAATATTTTGCGACACCAAGACCGTAAAACGGATGGAAATTTCATGTTGACGGATTTTTTTCACCACATTTTTGCAATAATTTCCCTTGGTCTCGTGGCGTACGTTCCCTTAGCCGTGTATGGCGACTCGGCCCACTTACGGGTGACGTTCCGAGGCCTTCAGTGGGAATCGGCATTCAAGGATCTTCTCGATTCACGATCTTATCGACGTATCGCGATGCGCTTCGACTCCGGGGAGACCGCCATTGTCTCGAATTCCTTTTTTTTTTCCCCACCGGCGACGAGAATAACTGGTTCGGTTAGTAAAAAAGGGCGCATTTTTCCAGCGATCCAGGCCACACACGGATCGTGGCCATATTCGGTTAAGCCTGTCGTTACCTCGTTCGCCGGCGATCTTGAATCGCCATGTGTAATAAACTCCGGCCAAGGAACGTTCGTCCGACGTATAACGAATTCCTCCTAAAGCAATTTATTGCCCATTCCCCATCGATGTACCGACGAGGTGACATCGTTAAAAACTGGATCGATTCCCAAGCCTAACGCGATAAAAAACATCGTTGAATCACGACGTTGTTACAGGCCTTATAAACGGAACGAGTGCCATAAAATACGGACACGCCGTTGAAAAAGGGAAGTATTGCTTAAAAAACGATCGACCGATGCTTGCAATCCGTAAAAATTCTTGTATTTATTCATCTGTCGGGTTGAATCGCGAAAATTGTAGGAAAACGCCTACGTACGGACAAAGTGCGTGACCGTACATGGAAACGGCTTATCGGGGAGTGATGGGACACGTGATGGATATGATTACAAATGTTATCAGCGATCGACTTGTATTTATTGTCCGATCGCCTTGGAACACAAGAGGATCTGTATCTGCATAATATAATATCATTGGTGATAACGCTGCGAGTCACCACAGTGATAACGCGACGTTATTGTATATCCGTCGCGATCCTGCTCAAGTGCAGCCGGTAAACAAGCGAATTTCAGATTCCATCGCCGTTACCGATTAATTTCAAGACCGATAAGAGGGATATTAAATCTTACCAACACCTGTGAATTTATCGGGAAGATAGCCGAATGTCCTTATTGATATTTTGATAAGTCGGTACCGATCCTTATTTGACGATTTGATAAGTTTTCACCGGTGCTTGTTTGAAGACTGCAGCGGATAAGACGTAACGCGATACAGAGGGTATTACGAAGAATGGAGAAGGGAATCTTTCAAACGAGTACCTTTGTGGTTCGTTATCGAGCTACTTTTCGAAAGAAAATACCGAATACCATTACCACTCGACGGGAATGTCTGACAAACCACCGACTCGGACCGCATGTAAATTAACATTGACACAGTTTCGTAATCACTGTGACATTACAAGTTTACGCTCCAATTCCCCCGGCATCGTGGCGTGGAAATTCAATTTTGCCATAACGGAGTCCGAAGTAACCTGCAAAGGAAAAAATAATTAACATCCAATCGAACCGCGATCGCTCGAAACACCTACGTATAAAAAATACTATACCCCCATTTCGTACATCTCCACAAGCGGAATCACGGCCACGGTGACTTTTCCGGGCTGCAAAAATATCCCATCCAGTTGGAAATTGAACTCGTACCTCCGTAAAAATGCCAGCAGGGCATCCGCTGGAATAGAAGAATTCCGAGCCGTCCAATCAGCGCGGCCCTGCGAACTAACGAGGTCGATTTAATGAAAAATAAAAGGAGAAAATGTAAAAAAACGAACGGAGGGCGATGGACAAAATGGGGGAGAGGGGACTAGGAAAGAATCGGCGAGCAAATACGGCGATCCCGGATGCAGGCGGCGTGTCACCGAGTCGGCAAATGCGTCCCACGTAGTCGGAGTCGGCCTCCTCGGTATTCAGGAGTCGCCACGGTGAGCCCCGTACAGTTTCCGTAAAATATCTGTAAAGTGGGATCCAAGGGGTCGGCCGGTACGGGGGTTGCTCGCCCGATAAGGGAGGGCCGCCGGAGGGATGCCGGAGCGAGGCACGAAGAGAGGACTTCCGCGGCTGCTCCGGAATTTTAACACTATTTCTACCACGATTTTGTGTATACCTATTTCGACCGAAAGGTTTTCATGAGCTGGAGGAAAATGATACCGCTAAATAAATTTAACAATTTTATTATACGAAAACTCAAAACATTAATTCAAGTGAAAATTTTCAAAGGTGTCTTTTGACACCTTTGGTAGAAATAGTGTTAATCCGCCCCGTACTCTCGCGAACCGGTTCGCTTCCGTCACGAGACTTTGGGCGATCGCCACGTGGGCGAGGTAATGGTCCAGGAGAAAACGCGGCCGTCCGTTTCGAAGAATTGCCTACTAAAGCGTCCGCGGACCCGGGACGACTTTCTCGAATAAAGAGCGGAAGTAACGGGACCGTATTATTTGCGCGTTTACCTTTAGCGACGATCGGAGAACCGGGACGTGGCCCGAGCGATTCGGCGGCCTCGAACCTAACCTCACATTCCGGGACGCGACGGAACTCCGGTAAGGTAATTCACCATTCGTATTCTAAGTATAAGCGTGATAATTTAATACCAGGGGGTGGAATTTCATATTCTTTCCACCTGTGCATACCTCGGGCATCGTCGCGTCGCTGGTATTTAGTGCGTTAATGTTTCAAGCCACTCTCGCATAGGACGCGCGCCACGTGATTCCTCGAACGAGGGAAAACGCGAGGAAGGAGTGGAGCTGGACTTTCCTGGCTGAGACTCTCTTTTTTCATTTTAACTCTCAGGGAAAGGAATTTCGTGGGCAAGGTAGGGAGTCGAAGTCGTCTTTCGTAACTCACCAGTTTGGGGACAAATAACCAGCGAAGCTAGGCTTTCCCGATGTTTGCTCAAATCTTACGCTATCATATCGGTACATCGATGTAAACCGCGGGAATACTTTAAGCCCGCGTAATGTACACAAAGGCGGATCCGTCGTGCGTTTCGTTTTTATAAGGGATTTATTAATTATACAGGCGCCGGAAAATATTTTAAAAAAAATCACCATACCCCTTAACCTCTCCATCGTGTCTAATGTATCCTTCCCCGAGATACGGTATCCCGGGAAGCGGGACTTCGCGGAATGGCAATCGAGGATCGCGTAACGGGGAAACCGAGGGGGAAAACAGGAGTGGCTCGAAATTTAGTGCTTTCTCGCCAATTCCTCCGGGCCGGGCTTAATGCAGCGACATATAACGAGGTATGGTAGCACCGTACACGTGACGGGCATACGTCGAGGGCGATGTGACGTGTATTTCGCCGGCGCTCTCGGCGTATTCGTCGCGCATTCCCGACGCGTCTAGTATTCCGCGGCGTGCTCGGGGCACCCTCGGAACTGCGGTCTACGTGCGGGGCGTACCAAGGGCGAGTCGATTCCGCAGCGGAGGGAGGTCGCGCCTTCGAGAAGCCCCGGCCGATCGGCGAATTACTAAATATTCCGCCATTAGGGAGGCAGCCAACGTAGCCACCGGCCGCCGAGAGAACGGTGCCTCGACGTGCGACCGTCGAGACTGCGTAAGGACGCGAGAGTACCGCGTAATCGCCGATTAAGCGATTAAACCGGAAACCGAGGGTCTACCGAACATTTCGTCCTCGGGTACAGCGTTAGGTTTCCTGCGGGTGGCGGGAAGGCCCCCGACCGTGGATTCCTAACCTGTAAGGCGACGCACTAAACTTACCGCGTAAGACACCTGAAATTGGTTTTTTTTTTTTATTAATTCTCTCAATCTCGTGACGGTATAGCCGATCTTTTAGCTAATGATCGCCGGACACGTGGACGGAGATACACGTGGCGCGGTGCTATTGCGCCTTATCACGTGTACGCACCTCGCAACGGCTCGCACGCGAATCGACCCCGCTCGGGTATCCTCGGCTCGACTCGGGTCGGCTCGGCTTCGACGGGCAGGAAGGCTCGAGAAGGTCCGGAAATTAACGGCGAAGGTGGGACGCCGTGACGCGGCGAAGGTTAGTCATCGTGTCCCCGTGACGTCACGTGGAAACTGAAAATCATACATCTGTCCTCTATGGAAAATAGAGAGAAAAAAGATAGAAACACAGAATTGGTCGCACCGAAAAGTGGACGCAAGTACGATCGCATTATTTTCATACCTTTCACCCTAATGCACCCGGCGATTAATTCGGGAATAATTCAAGGCCGCTCCAGTTTCCTCCGTATCTGTAGGAATTTTTACGTGACACCCTCGGACGCGTGTAGTTTCGTCTGGGGCACGATGAGCGCGATAACGCGTGTTAAGTAATGCGATATCGCGAGGGAGATAAACTTTCCCGAGGCAGGGGGGAGAAAAACAAGATATTGTGCTCTTTCCAATTGCTTTGTATTTTTCACTCCCGTCTACGTCACGGAAAGTGACGTCACGTCGGGCGATCTTGCGATCGGGATCGGATATTCCGTCTCGGTGTCAACGGGTCGTGTGTCATCGGAGAGAAAGCGCCGACTTTGTCGCAATTATCGCCCACGTAGCGCAGCGATCGATTCGACTGATCGTTACGTAGAGGCGCGCAACGAATTATGGCGGCAAGGATTATCGCCGGCTTACGTCACCGGGCCCGGACGAGCTCTCTTCCGCTCATTGAGTACTCCGTGCGCGAATGTTTTCCTGGCGTGTCTCATCCTATCGGCGCCGATAGCGAGGCTATCGATATCGGCCATGCGCGTGCTACGTGACGACCTCTCGGCTTCCACGGCTTCCACGGCTTCCACGACTTACGCGATACGCTGCAGATCGGGTGTTTTTTCCCCCGGCCGAGTCTCGAGAGAGGTAAATTAATTGATAATGCGGGGTAATATCGCGTCTTCGCGCGCCAGTATTGACGGGAACGGACGTATTCGCCGAGAAATTCGGGGACAAGGGTGGGAGACGACTGTCGGGCGGCGGCCATCTTGGAAATTCAAATCTCGCGTCCGCTTGACCGTTACACGTGTATAGTATGATAGCGGGAGATGTAACGCGCGCTCAGGACTGGAGTGAATTTTTCTAGGCATCCAGGGAAGTGCCTCCCGAAGTCCTCACCATTCCCCCCCCATTCCCCAGGCAATTTTCCCCGGAAAAGTTCCGTTTGCCCCATCCATCGTGGGTAACTTTCCTCTGGCCGTCCGAGACCGAAAAGTTCAAACACGGAACCCCGTGATCGAAGTCGGACATTTATTAAGGATGACGGGCACCGTGGAACTTTCCGCGTTTCCGGAGTTACAGGACGGTCGAAATGGTTTCCGGGTCCGCGGGGCAGGAAAAAAAAAAAAGAGAAGAGGAGACGCGACGTCTGCAGTTCGACTTAAAACCAAGGGCACGATTTGGCGCGGAAGTTTTCGACGAACCTATTAGGCAGAAGGGAGGACGACAAAGGGATCGACTTAAGCAGGAAACAGCTGTGATTTCGTGCCGATAAGGTCCTGGAGGTAATTCTAAACCAGGAACTAATCGGTGGCAATCTAGAAAACAGCTGCCGCGCCCTCTATGTGCCGTTTAAGTCAGCTGAGATGGGCATTTAATTTACACGCGCGGGCTTTCTAAAACAAGAACCTCGCTCCGACTCGGCGGACACGTAGAAAGCGGTCGACATGTTCGCGCTAAAAGAAAATGATTTCGTGTCCGATCGCTGTAATCCTATTTTTTTTCCCTTCGGTCAGAACCCTTATCTGGCCGAGTTCTAGTCGAGGCTCCAAAGAGGAGGCTCCACGTTGGTATCTAAATCTCCTAATTACATTGTTTTCACGACCTTCCAGATTAGATCTGAATTTAGGCGGACGTGGGGACGTTTCTTCCTCCGTTATGTTTTCCCCGAAAACGTAATATGTCCCAAAGACGTCGGGGAAGAGCGAAAGGAGGCTTCCGCGAAGTCAATCCGAGATTACGTGGCCAGGGCGCTGCGATTCCCCGATCCCTATCAACCGCTGAATAGTCGCAGTTCCTGATAAGAGGGCTTGGCAATGGCGCACCGTTCGCGTTAGTCATCGCCGGTAACCCACATTTATGGATAGAGCTCATAACGCTTTCTCGAGTAGAAGCTCCCATCTGTTCGGGCACCTGACTCGATTCACCTGCCCCAGGTACCGGCTAGGCGTCAGGTGTTTCTGCCGACCTAACGGCGAGTCCTGCGCCTCGGAACAAAGAAAAGTGAAATTCGTAATGGGGAGCCGCACGAACGGTTCCCCTGCACTCTTGAAACCTGCTCGAAAAAGTGGATCCGCCGATTAATGCGATTACGAGCTTGCCCACCTTTTAACCGCGGTCGGGCTTCTTCGTTCCCCGGGCCCGAAGAAACCGACGACCGCCGTGGATTCCCTGTGACGTTTTTGACGCACTATTCGTTACGTGTCACAAAAATGACTAAACGCCGCTAGAAAAAACAAAAAAATTCCTGGCGCAGGTAGGATGGGAGCATCTAGCCTCGTGTTTGACCTGAAATCATTTACGATTAGATAGGAGTCGATTAACCCGCTCAATTTACTGCGAAAAGGGTATCCGCTCTCCCTCTGCCTTTCCTTCTTTTATCGGCCACTCTAAATTTATCCACGTACTCTACCCACGAAGCTCGTGTATCTTGCGTTCCTCCGTGCTCTTCGATTCGCTAATCATGGATACGCGCGATAAGAACTCTCTCGAACGAATTCCCCGTTTAATTTCGCGTTACACCACGAAGCCGACGTCGACATCAAAGTGGCGGGACGTCCTTGAATGACGACGGCGCTTCTTCAGGGTTTCTCGCTCCGGGTGGGCGCAAGGAATGAATGAAGTTTCGTAAACGCCGGTCTTGTCGTCGTGCCAGGGCATCGTCGCGACGCCCGCCGTCTCGGCGTTCGTGCGATTGTTCTCGAAGGCGTGAATTTCAGAAGCCTGGAAAGGAATTCTCATTACCGAGTATGTAAAAATTATGTTAAACTCGCAGACGGCCCGATTTGTCATTCATTATACGATCTCGCTGAGTCGCGCGATTTGAGACACTTCACGTCGAAAAGTTTTCCACCGATCGCATTAATTCTCTCCTCGCCTTTTGCCCCCGCAGGGAAACGCCATTATTTCGTAACCGCGACTCTTGGTTTCATTTACACCATAACCAGCTCGATCCGACCGATAAGACCGGACCAAAAGTATACCTCCATTGTGCATTTGCGGTTTTTTCTTTTTTTTCTTTTTTTCTTTTTTTTCTTTTTCTAATTCCGGGAAACGCATCGCTGCAATTGCAGGATCTCGTTCCCCTCGTCCCGCCTCCTGGCGTACACCTATACTTAACAGCTCGGTAATTGCACGCCTCTCGGGTACCACTTTTCCCGGTTTACATTTCCAATTTGCGCGACTAGGATTTCCTCGCTCCAATGCGGACGCCCTCGTGGGCATTTCCCTTATCCAGAATCCCCCCCTGGTACGGCTGGTGAAACATGGAAAAAGGAAAGGAAAGGCCTCAAAGACACGAAACATCGGTAAGGATGCAGGAGGGACTAAATCACCTCCGGTGATTCCGCTGCCCTTCATTAGGGTGGTACGTCTCTCTGGAACGAGCCATAAACGCGGCGCTATAAACTTCCAACAATGGGGATCGTCGTCGCGACTCCAGCCCGCGGAGGAGCTCCTCGGGGTCCCTAACGAGGCGAGGGCGTAGACGCATGGACGCATCCCCATCATCGGACAAAGCCGAGTGGACGCGCGAGAACATTTAGCCGTGGGTCCAGCGATATCGCGTGTTATGCCGCCGACGCACGCGATATCGCGTTCCGGGCCTCTCGCTCCACCCTGAATGCGATTGATCACGCCATCCTGCCATTACCCGGTGCAATACGTGCCCGAGTGTCGTGCACCGGCCGGGTTTTTACAACCTCCGGAGGTGGAGGAGGCGAGACACCGCCGCCAACGCGCAAGACCGAGGGAAAAAGCGAGACATCGGGAAGGGGAAGGATGCGTAAGAGTTACCAAAGTCGCAGTATGGCCCTTTGGAACCGCCGACACACCGGATGTTTTCAACGGAGAAATCGAAGAAGCGGTAACGAGAACGCCTAGCGGACGTTTCGAGAAGCTTCCACGTAGCGCCCAGGCCGAGGCAGCCGGCTGGCGTCGAGCGGCGGAGAGGGCGGGGGAGGGGAGGGCGAGGCAAGGGCTAGGTTGCCGGAGTTTTCCGGGGGAGGTTAGGACCGGCAGACGCGATCGAACCGCCGCGGCGGCGAGAGGGCTTGGCCTTTGTGCGGAGCCAGCACGCCGCCTCTCCCGCTCCGCGTCCCTCGCGGAAATGGCGGTCGGGCGTTCGACCGCGGCGGCGAGCATTAATGCGCAGTGCGCGCACAGCCGGGACCCCGCGTGATATTGACCGAGGCGATAACTGTAGCGTGGCGGGGCTCGCGGAGACGATAAAGAGTATACGCCGACTCCGCGGGCCAGCGGGAGAGAGGCGAAACGTCCGCGCTCGGGGCGGGGACGGAGCGAACTAACCGGCGATACGCGCGCGCCGAAAGCTCCGCCTGCGCGAGGGTATGCCGGCAGACCGTACGTCTAGGAACGAAGGCTGGTAAATCGTACGTAGGTCTGCGTACAAGGGGCCTCGCGCGAGCCTCGGTAATTGGATGGGGAGACCGCGGAACCTTTTTCCAGCCTCCACGGCTTTCCAATCGAGCCTGGCGAGCGGGGAGTATTTTCGTTCGCTCCGGGAAATTAATATAACTTTCGAGGGTCCCCACGACTCCGCGCGACTTTAACGCTGGAACTACCGAGCCCAGTAAATATTACTGGTTTTGGATAGCCCCTCCCGTACAAAAATAAATCCGCCGGTAGTTCTAGGGTTAAACGACGGACAAGGAAACGAGTTACGGCGTTTATTCCGTTCATTCCGAGAACCTTCGCTTGGGAAAATAATGATCCCTCGTCGGGTGGGGTTTTCGGTCGGTTACGAGCATGGGGATTAAAAAAAACCGCAATCCGCGGCGCACTTACGCATCCGTGCGCTCGCTCCGTTGGGTCGCGCCGAGTAAGAGTGAAAGGGGCGGTGGGGAGGGCGCGCGCGGCGTGGAATAGCCGTGACGGGGAGGGGGGCCGGCGGGAAGCAGCGAACCGCTTCCACACGCGAGCGATCGCGTGCATATGGGACAGCGTATATAGGTAACAGTCGGTCTCCTCTTTATGCTCGTGTTTCTTTCGCCCTCCCTCCCCGGGACCCTTTCTCTCGCTCGAGCCAGCCCGCGGCATGACGTCACTCTTGTGTACGAGGACCGCGACGCAGCCGCGGCCGCCGCCATATTGGAAGCGCCGAGAGAGCCGCGCACGGGTGTCGCACCGGGCGCCGCGATACCTGGCAGGGCCGTTCCTGTTTACAAACAGCCGGAGAGAACTCGGCCCGAATACATGACATCATCGGCTCTCACGGCCACGTGGTTCGAACCTCCACGAAACGCGAAATCACCGACCGACGCCATTGCCGGGAGGTTGCGCTAACGGCGCAACGCGCGAAACTTCTCGATCGACCCTGCGGCCTGTCGAGGCGATTAGACGCGTAGACGCGGACGAGGCGAACCCGTTTAACGTCGCTCTTGCTTTATTATTCCCCCCTTTTCGAGAGGAAAGCTGCCGACGACTGCCTTTCCCTGCAATAAACCCGCTAATATTCCTCCCCCCGTTATTAACGTTTCACTGGAACGTCCTAACGTCCGTTCCCTGTATATTCCCGACATTCTCTCAGTCCGTGTATTCGACCACAGGTATATATCACGTGGAATGAGGTTTTAAGCGATTTATTTATGCCAAGTGCTCTCAATTTCCAGGCGTCGCGTCCTTTCGCGACCATGGCGACTGCCAGGGACGCTGCTTTTACGGAGAGAGTCGGATATATATATATATATATGTATGTACGTACAGGACATCGTTGTCAGGAACGTGGCCGAGCGCCGATTCTTACGACGCCATTGCCCGGAAAGAGCGCCGCCTTCTCGGCTTCGATCTTTCCCGCCCTCGACTCGGCACTCGATCGACCATGGCTCGACCCGAGCCGCGATTCGATACGCGATTCGATACGCGATTCGATACGCGACTCGGGTGAATTCGATCCGGCCGCGAATCCTCCCCTCCTTCCTCACCTCCGCTCCCGGCCGCTCCCCGCGCCCTTCGCGGTCACGTTCCGTCTCGTCATGTCCGTGACTAGTAACGGGCAGATGAGATATCGTGACGTCACCGTTATCGCCCGAACGCGGGTCTAGGGCCGGGTTACCCACTGCACGGCATGATTAATCTACGCACGGAGGGCCGCCACCGCAATTGTCGCGATCACGTTGATGCCATTAACTAACCGCAACTTGTGTACGATTCGGGCCTTAGATTTCGACGATATCGCAGGAACGGCCGCGATTTGGTCCATTTTCTTGGCCCATATGCCGTGGGCAGATGATTTGACCGTTATCGCGTCGCTATCGACGCATCGACGCATCGACGCCGCGCTCGGCTTGGGTTATCCATGGTCGAGTTCGCCGCCATCTTGGTTAGCCCCGTTTTCGTGGCCAACGAGCCACCGAAGTGACGTAACCGTGGAAAGTCACGGCGTAAGAACGGGAGATGTTTCGGATGAGTACGCTTAGCGCCGCGGAGTAACCTAACCTGCGCCATCGGTGGTCGCTCGTAGCGGGCAGAAATGGAACCTCACCGTTATCCAATGGACGGGCGCGAGACGCGGGCTGGATTCTTCGGGTCTACATATGAGAAGAAATTATTGTTCCAAGATTCATGCTCGGGGAGAAAATAAAAAATGTCAGTTCATTGAGAGGACATTTTTCAAGACTCGCAACGGTCGTGACGTGGATGTCACTTTAGCGAGTAGAGACGACAATCGGACGAATTGCGTCCGGCGCAATTGGGGGAGATAAAGGAGGGAGTTACGTTGCCATGAAGGGGACGCTCCGCTCGTCATGGAGGAGGTGATCACGTTCCTCGACCCGTGCCTCGAGACGACGGTCCTCCTCCGCTTGTCCCTGGAGAAAACAGGTAATCCGAACAATGGGGAGTAACGGATTGGATAACGCAAACGAGCGAACGCAGACCCGGAACGGAGGATGGCATGCAAAACCTCGCGGGAAAACGTTCTTTTTTTTTCCAACGGCTTCTCTAAGCATCGCCGAAATGTTCTACACGACGACCGCGAGTTCTTGCATTTCGCCGAGTTCGTTCCGGAGCTTCGCGAAAATCCCCTCTGGAGGCACCTCACTTTTCGAGGGGCAAACAAAGAAAGTCACGCTTCCTCGCGAGGCGCCCCGACCGCGTCGAGTAGCCCTGAACGCGTCCCCTTTCATAACGCGCGGAACCTTCTCGAAAGGAGCTTGTTTGCGAAATCCGAGCGGAACGCGCCCGACCCTTTTTTTACGGTTTCTTTGTCCGAAGGGCGAGCGAGCGCGAAGTGCGTCCCCGGGGACGGTGGAACGTATTTTTTTCTTTTTCTTCTGGTAACCTACACTTCGGTGACGTCGCCCATTGACTCGGCCCACTGCAGGGTGCCTGGGGGAACTGTTCCCGCCGACCGTTGCGAAGCGAAAACAAAATGGCGGCCTGGCACGGTCGACTTTAACCGGATTGGCGATTAAGGAGCGCATGTTTTTGAGAAATGTAGAGAGGAGGGACTTAAGAGACTCGAGGAAAGAGCGAGTCCTTTGCCGTCGCAATTCCACGGCTCGCGGCCGACGACGGAAACGAGGGAAATGATTTAGGGACGCCTCGCGTCGCGGCTTCGCGAATAATTTAACGGCCGTGGATGTAAGAGGTCTGAAGAGGCGCGGAGAAAAGGGGTTTCCTTTCTTGCCGCTGAGAAGCTCACGCGCGCCGGACGAAATACGAACGAGAATGGCCGTACCGGGAAACGAAACGGCTGACAAAAGAATTCTCGCCTCGTGTCGCGAGGAGTGGGTTAACGTACGAGAACCTCGAAAGAGTGGAGGGGAGGCTTTAGCCGCGAATGAAATATGGAGCGAAGAGGATTTCTTCCCACGGATGGATGCCTCGAAAAATTTCGAGGGATTAACGGATCCTCGGTGCTTGTCAATTAAAACCATTGGTCGTGTTAAGGGCCTTATTAATTAATTCGGTTCTTCCTCCGATCGACATCCAGCAGCTTTAAACACGACGGAGGGTGTTCCACGTTGAAGGCATTCCCAGGGGATTTAAAATGTACTCCAGCCCTCGTAAAGGTGGATCCAAATCGCCGCATTCATCTTTATTATGTACAATTAACGGTAAATGGCCTAGTTAAATCCTTCGACGCCCGATAGGAGGATTTTCCGTCTCGTTAAGACCAGGGTGAGACAATTAAAAGGTACTAAAAGGCGCTCCGGGAAACGTAGTTAAACACTCTCGGGGGATTCGCAATGTACTCGACTGGTGTAATTTCCCAGCAGCGTTTAATTACTCTCCACGGTGGAGTCGTCAAAAAGTGCAGCCTTTGGCGCGCGCTGCTTTTTCGTTGCTACAATCTCTTTCATGTCGGGGAAATAAAATGTAGAATCCAACGTTTGACGTTCGAAATGAACGCGGAATTTATTTGCAAGGGCGGTATAAATCGCTGGCTTGGACGAATCATTCCGTACAATTTCTCGAGTAATCAGCTGATCGCCACGCCCGGCCTATACGGTGAGTCTTCTAATCCAGCCGAAACCAGCACATCCTTCACGTGTTCCGATAACGAGCGACGCCAGATCGATCCCCTCTAAAATCGATGAATCGGCGATAGATTACTTTTCTTACCGGATAAGCGGACAAACCTCTAAGAGCGGCGAGCGACGCGCAACGTCTGACGCGGAGATTCTTTTCCGCGGCTCGTTTCGCAACGAAATTAAAACGTTGCAAGCGCCACACGCACGATCCTTCGCACATGGCGCTTAATCGTGCCGATACGGGCCAAGGACATCGGCGAAGGCCCGCTTTTGAAACGATAATTATCAACGAGCCCGTAGAGACGCGGGGGACGGGTAGAGGTCGGAAAGAGAAGAGGAGGTTAGCCTTGCACTCTCGAATCTCGAAAAATCTGCGGGAAAACCGCGCGAGCGCGCGCCCACCTGAAAAGGTATATGAACCCGACAGAAATAACCTAACGCAACCTCGGGTCAATATCGCGGCGCGGACCCTTAAAGAGCCCGATGTTCGCGGGTGAGGTAGTAGCGCCGGCGCGCGACTTTTTCGCGAAGGGTTAGTAGAGAAGAACCGGATTGATTTTCTCCGGCTAGCCGGTGCTGTGACGTGACGGAATGGTTTTGTCTCTGCCCCCAGCGATGCGGCGGGTTTCGGCCCTGTCGGCTGGACTGCTTTTTTACTAAGCGATTCGCCTCGGATTTACGCGCCAACCGGGCGTATTCATATTTCGCGGAGGCGGCACGTCCGGCGCGTCCGGCGCGTCGTCGAGGCTCGGTCGCCCGGCTGGCTCCAGCGGAAACGGCGTACCGGCCCAACGGAAACAGACGCGCGCCGGCGGGGCCGCGAGGGGCCGCCGGCAACCGCGCGTTCGGCGTTGCCAGACGTTGCGGTGACGTCACAGCCGCGCTACTCTAGGCACGTAAAGACGGCCGGAGAGTAAACGCGCGACTTACCCTACGCGAAACCGTATACCCTTTGTTAGCGACAAAACCCACAGGAGAACGGCGACGCGTCTCGTCGTTTCTCCTTCATCGGGGGGTTTAGCTTTCTTGTTCCAACCCACTCCTGACCGATTTTTTGGGGAAATCTCTCCGGAAATTCGCGGCCTTGCCTAGGGAATATGGCATTCGCAAAGTCTAATATTTCTGAAAGTACGAGCGAAGTCTCCATCGATGTACTCGGGCATAGTTTAGAAAAGCAATTCATTAAACCGCCCTGAATGTATAAATTTGCCGCTCGTTACCGTATTCGGGTCAAATCACTGCCTTTTTTGCATGAAAAGAAAAAAAAAAGTACTCGGGTTCAGACATTTCGAAATCATGATTACACGTAGTTAACCTGAATAGCGTGAAACGTAATTAACGTAATAACTCGGAAATTATCGTAAATAAGGTGGGTGAATTTATTAAAAATAATTATCGTAATCCATATTTATGGAGCAAATGCTGACGAAGCGAACTTTTTAATCTCGAATGAATATACGGATAGTGGATGTACGTTTATTAAGGTTGCGGTATTTTCGAGTATCTCTAGCGTGTTCTATATTTATTTTCAATAATCGGAAAGTGCGGCGACTCGCGTCGATCCGCCTCCCCGATCTGTATCGGCTCTCCGATATCTGTACATCTGATCGCGTTGCGGAATTTTTCCCGCTCGCCGACACCTGCCTCGAAACCGTTGCGAAACCACCGGGGCTTCGTCGCGGAGGTAAATAGAGTTTTCGGAACGACGGAGCTTTCCACTGTCGGGGGCTCGCGTTATCGGTCGCTGCTTGGTCACGTGGTCGGGCCGCGCGCGGCGAAGCGAACGACCGTCGCCCTTTAATTAACACCGGCCTTATCCGCGCCGGTGGGCCGATAATAAAAGAAAGTCGATCGGTTCCCGGCATTCGCTCCCGGGAACTGGTTTCCCCGTCCATTCACGGCCGGGCGGCGAATCTTGGAGGCTAGGTCGAATTATCTGCCGGATCGATCGGCGGATTCTCGCGCGGCCGGGCCGGGCGAAACAAAGGAGCGACGCGCGGCCGAAACCTTCGTCTCGGTCCGCTCGGCGCGACTTCGGGGGACTTCGGCCCGCTTCGGGACGCGTCAGGGACCGCCGGCTCGCGGAGTAGGGGCAACGCCGGGGGACGAGCCCCGCTAGGCTTCTCTTTTTATTTTTTTTTTCCTCCGGGTTCGGCTAAACGCCCCATTTATTATTCATCGCGCCCCGCTCGGCGCGGGGGCGCCCAAGGTCGCGGGGACGAGCGCTCGAAAAGTATTAGGGAACGCGCGCGCGAATATTTCGGCGCTCTCGACATTGAATCGACTCCTGGCCGCGCAATCGAATTAGAAGCCGGCCGGCCCTCTTCCACTCGCAGCTGGGCCGAATGTCGAACGGAACGTGACGCGGCGCAGCGGCGCTCATTCGCGGCCGAGCGGGCGGAGGCGCTGGACGCAACGTGGGAATTCTTTACACCTATGGGACGCGTCGGTTAGAAATTCGTCCTCGAAGGTATTTATTAATCCTTTCCTGTTCCTTTCCTGTTCCTTTCAGCCCTGTCTCCAACGACGCGCGGTACAAACGGTGGAAAAGGGACGTCGAAGTGTTCTCGATTCCCACTTGGAAGCCAACGAAAATCTAACCACGAAATCAATAAAATTGTCTACCACCGCGACTGCTTTTTATTTCCCGTGACACGTTTAGTGCGCGATGCAGTTTAAAACCGACGAGAGGCTCGCTCGTTCGCTCTCTTTGCGCGGTCGGTACCTGCGGTGCTGAAACGCGATCTTTGAACGTACGGGAGGCCACCGGGCGATCATTTATTTATGTCTGGAGCGAAATAAAAGTGGCCCGAGGAGGAGAGACGGCATTGTCGCGGATCGGCCGGCAAGGCGCTCTCGCGAGCATCGGGCTCACGTTACGAGCTCGTGCGAGCGCCGTGATGTCACCGGTTGCGCGCGGAAGAAAGAGCGGCGGCGCCGATTTTAAATCGGAGACCCACCCAGAAACTCCACGAGGACCGGACTCGTTACGTGGGTGGGATTTCGACTCGCCTCGCCAGTTAGGGATCACCCCGCATTCCGCAATTCGCACCGATGTCGACTTTTCTCTTCTTCCTTCGTGCCAAATCCAAATCCAAATCCAAATCCGAATTCCGGCTTTCCCTTTCGATTCGTCGACCGATGTTCCGGGGTGCCTTCGGATTTTCGTCGACGATTGAATGATTCGAACGAAGGTTCCCGATGGTTTTTCAAAGCTAGGTTGGGTCTCCTCTTGCCTCCTTTGTTCCTCTTTATCGGCGCAATGACGAGGAAAGAGGCAAAATTAGAAAACCCGGTCGTCGACACGAGTCGACTCCGTTTATACGTTGCGTAACGTCGCGCAGCTTTCCGTTCGCGAACGCCACGCGATATTGTAATATTACAGGGCGGCCGACCACCGGGGCGACTCCACGATGTAGGCACACTTACGTTATCGCACGCGCTCTTATCGCACCGGCGGGGCTTGCGGAATGTTAACGTACGGTTAACAGGTATGGGTCTGTATTTGTCGCTCCTTGTCGCGTTGGGCAGGCTTGGCGGATTTTTCTTTTTTTAACCGGGACGGTGTGTCGTTTTTTATAAGATTCTTCGACAAAGGCTCCATTTACGTTTCAGGACGTACTTCTAAGGGAACACGGACCAATGCGACTGGGTTTAACGGAATATCGAAGGCGACGAGTCGTCACGACCGAGTTACTTGGTTCGCGGGTTCCGGATACGCGTATCGCGGAACTGCCGAGCGGTTTTTCTCCGCGAAAGGCGCAGTTACGGCACGACCCCGACTTTCCTCGATTTCTTACCGTCTGCGAAAAGACGGGCGTTAAAAGGAAATTCGTCGACGTCGATATGACGCGGAAAGCGTCCAATCCTACACTGGAGAAAAACCTCAGTCCTTTATCAAGTGCAAATACTTAATCATTATAGGAAATATTTAATCACGGTTTAGCAGGAAACCGTTCACAAATATAGCGTACCGAGGGCGTAGGAATAAAAATTGCTACCGTGATCGATAAAGCACGCGCATATCGGCTTCGTGGAGAATGCAGTTTATTTTGTGCTCCACATCTGCTCGAGTGAACGCATCGTAAGTTCGTAGTTTATTCGCTACGTGTTCCCCGTACACGGCGGCACCGTCTCTCCGTATTCTTTCCAACGGCACTTCTTTCGGGACATCGGTGACTCGAATCTCGGATGGTTCGGAGAGTCTTCTCGCCATTTCCAGTTTCGGTATCGCGAATGGACCTTCGGGGTAGAAGGACGATTCCGCAGTCTGTCGCTCAGGGAGGCCCGGCTCGTTATCGCGCTCGTCGGCTGGATATTCTAATTCCGTCGAATCTTGGTCATGGACACTCTCCGATTTAACATAAACATTCTCCATCTAAAAGCCAAAAGTTTACCGAATGATTAAACGAGGAAGAACACCGGAATAATATTTGCGCATTTCGAGTCACTTTTCTTCCTTAAGATTATTAAATGGTAATTGCAAAGACTCATTTACGTTTACCTTATTCGTATCGAAATCTCTGCACGGTAGCCAGGTTACTCGTGAAAACGGAGGCGCGATCGTTAACGTATCACTGCTCGTTGAGGGATTGACTATATCGTTGAAGTTGTCCATCGTTGGGGTTTGAACCGACGATTCCGTATAGTCCAACGGGATGCCACATTTGCGAGCTTTTTGTCGCGCTCTGAATTCCCTCAGACGTTGCAGGGGAGTCTTCGGAGCCTTTTTAGGTGGCCTTTGTGCGCGTTTCCTTTCCCGAAACGCTCTTACGCGCTCCGTGCTAGTTTTCTTCGGCATGCTAACCCTTCCCCCTATTTGCAACGACGAACGCGTACGAAACGAGAATGCGAAACGCGACAGCCTCGCTTTCCCGTTAACCTCACTCCACGAGTGGAGACCAACTGAGGAGGAAACGAAAATGTGAAACGCGCCAGCCTCTCGCTCCCTCAGAGTGGGGTAACGATAGCTCCCCCCTCTTCCCTCCGTGACTCGCTATTTCAATCCCCCCTCTCCTTCCCCTTTCCTGATTAACCGATGTCACGATAACGAAACGAAATAGTGAAACCGAGGCAGCGAACTCGAGCTACCGTGGTCGAAGAAATTCCCGAAGTTAAGCGACCTTGGGTGCGGTCGGTGCTTGGACGGGTGACCGCTTGAAAGCACCGCGTTGGGTCAATTCCTGAGAAACATTCAATGTCATTGGTCCCGGTCTCGGAATTCAAAATTGAAACTGGAATTCCTCGGTGGCGTCGGTTTGCGCTTTCGGGATCCTCGAGAGATCGATGCGCGCGCACGCAGCCGCGAACCGAGTTTGGCAACCGCTGGACTTGGAAGGACAACCGGCAACGCCGCGAATGGCAACGCCGAGCGCCGAGCATGGCTGCATTCTTTTCTGCAAAACCCGGAATCGCGATCGGAATTTTCGGCTGCGGTTTGCGGCCGCACGAAATAGGAATTTTTAGCCATTTAGAGCCATTATCGATGTTTATTAATAATCCGTGCCGTTAATTTCCCCGATTATAGTTGACCTTGAATGAAAGGAAAGGAGGGGCAGGAGCGAAGACAGGATACGACCCCCGGACTCGGTCACGCGGATTTTCGAGGGCAATTTATTGTCGGCATTGTCCGTTAAGTACGGGTGGACTCGTTAATATTCGGCACATTGTCCCGGAATAAAGACCCCGAACAGTACAACCTGTAGGTGTGTTCTCCGTGAACGATTATCCCATAACACGAATCGTTCCCGTCTCGCCCAATCTCCTTGCATAACGTTTTCGTTAAGCGAGTCCCCGAACCGCGTTAAAGATTTATCAGCTGTTCCCGCCGCCGAGTTGCAATAGGTTAATTATCCCCGATTGCGTCACGTCGCAATTACGAGAACTTGCCGGATTAACGATTCGCCGGGAGCGACCGATTATTCGACCCCCGTTAAACATACAATAATCCACGGTTTTATTCGACACAGATGTGCTCAGCCCGGCAATAGACGCTCGCTCGGGGTAGAAATTACGAGAAACAATCGAAGGGATTGACGAACAACCCGAGAGACAGAATCGCTCGAATCGGCCCGATATCCCGTCCAGTCGTTCCCTGTATCCAATTAGCGAGTTAAATAACGGTATCGAAAACTCGTGAAAAATCCCGCCCATCCCGCATGGCCGCATCGCCTTAACCGAATCGGCGATCGATCATTCGCACCGTCCCTACGTGCAGACCGTCGGTGACCTAAAAAGCATCTCGCGGCGAGTTTTCTCGCGCGTAAGGAGGTCCGGTCTCTCTCGGCGGGCTCGGCGAGCTCGGCTCCGGCGGTCCGGGTCGGCCGAGCTGCGCGCGCCGCTCCGCTCGCTGCTACGTGTCCCTCGGTCGGCGGGACGGCGGGGTGGGGGGGCCGGGGACCGAGGGCGACGCATGCGCGCGCAATTATGACGTAGCACCCCGTGACGCCACAGCTCGGGATTGGCGGAGCGGCCCGGGAAGCGGGCGGGTGGGAGAGGGGTGGCGGGTCGCGGTGGTGGGGGGCGTGACACCCGTAAGCCCGCCGTGGCGCCGCATTCTCGAGCGTTCGTCTCCGCGTACGGCAGCACGTTCCGCGCGCGCGTCACCGAAGTGCGTATTTCCTTTCGCGAGGAGGGTGGAGCCGCTGCCATTCGGGAGCGAGTCTACCGGGCGAGGAGGTTAGGTCGACGCGCGCCTCTTCTCCGCGGCGGGGGACGAGGCGACTGCCGATCCCCGGTAGGGGATCCCCGGGCGAGGAAAGGAGACAAAGGGCGGAGGTAGGCCGAGATACGCTCGCAGCGGTCAGTGGGGAGTATTCGTGCGCCGTCCAGGGAACGTACTCGGGGCGCGTTTGGGTGGGCGAGAGTGCGAATCTCCGGGAGGGCAGAAAGGAGCGGACCCTCGACTCGGGCAACGGCGCCCTTGGGGCGCCCCACCGGCCCAAGATGATGGGTAAGCGGACGCAGTGCTACCTCTGCGACCTCCCCAGGATGCCCTGGGCGATGATCATGGACTTCTCGGAGCCCGTCTGCCGGGGGTGCGTCAACTACGAGGGCGCCGACCGGATCGACCTGGTCCTCGAGTCGGCGAAGCAGCTGAAGAAGGCCCACGGCTTCCAGGACGCCCGACCCTCGGCCTCGAAGACGTACCGCGCCTCGGCACACGGGGAACACAACGGGGGCACCAACCTCGACGTCCTCCCCATCCAGAACGCCGCGGCGGCCGGCCAGGGTCACTCTCGGCACCACAACATCGCCGGGTACTCCCAGCTCCACCATCGCAACTCCATAACCGAGTTCAACTCCGGGACCAGGCAGCAGCAGCAGCAGCAGCAACAGCAGCAGCAACAGCAACAGCAGCAGCTCGCCAGACACGAGGACACCCACGAGATGGCCAACGGCATGAGGGGCAACAACGTCCGGATCTCGAACGCCCACCTCGCCGCCGTGGCCCACCACGTCAACCTGAGCCACACTCGTGGCATCACGCAGCTCAAGAGGACCATCAGCGCCATCGACGAGGACGAGCACGCCGAGAAGAGGCTCTCCCTCGAGGAGCAACACCCCGTGAGGCCTCCCTTGACCAGGGGAGACTCCCTGCCCGCCGTCAGTCTCGCCGTCAGCTACGTCCAGGACCGCTCCAAGGAGAAACACCCCGTCAGGGCGCCCAGCTTCGACACGGCCACCACGTTCAAGGCCAACGGTGAGTCATGCGCCCGCGAGCCCTCTCGAGCCCTCTCGAGCCCTCTCGAATGGGCAGAAAACCCCGAATTTCCGAAATAGTTTATCTTGATATCTAGTCGATCTCTCTTTTTTTTCTTGCGCATGCATCTAGTCATAAGAGCGATCAGGAGTTTACGCAATGCCGAATTCGCTTCTGAGCCGGCTGTAAATTTCCAGAAGGTTTTTACGGGAATGCGGAAAATTTTGATATATGAGAGCGATTCCGAGCACGGGAGTCTCCTATGTGGTTTTAGGTTAGGTAGAGGTTATCCTCGCGGACCGTTAGCTTCGACTTTGTACGTTCATTCTCGCCGCGGCGTTTCTAAAAATCGAGAAATTCGCCGGGGAGAGATCGGGATATGCCGGGGATCGTTATCTTCGCGACAGGAAATACTTGATACGGAGTTTTATGAAGAAAGTTGTCCCGTATAAAGGGGAAAAAAAAAACCCGGCTTCGACGTACCTCGTGTTAGCCTAAAATCGTAAATTTCTGGGATATGTAGTGTCCGGACTCGTTAAGCGAGTTTGGCGGGGTGGAACGGGGCGAGGCTTTCCTCCGCGTAGGGAACGACTTTTCGACGATTTTTTAAATTCGTACGACGTTAGTTCTCTTGGGACGAAGTCGCGAGCTGAACGTCGGGGGGAAATGCGTCGCGATGGGGATTTCGAGACCCTGGGGTAAATGTTGACAGGAGGGGGCCGGGAACGCGTGGACTGGCGATTCCTGCACGCACCGGACGCACGGTCACGCGCTTCAAAGAACCTCCTCCTCCTCCTCCTCCTCCTCCTCCTCTTCTACGTTCCGGAGATGTTAACACGAACGACTCGAAGGTCACGTTCGCCTCGGCATAGAGTACCGGTTAAGTCGTCGCTCGGTCTGCCTGCATACCTATCGCGCGACGTCCGCGGAGGGGAATTATATCACCCCGGGATTCGGATACGACGGTCGATACTTGATATCAACGAGATACACTACTCGAGGCACGAGCGACTCCGGCGAGTGACATTTTCACAAGGGACGCGTTTTCAGACGGGGGAGAGATAAAGATGTAGGCGACTGGCCTTTTGCTTTTCCCTTAAGTGACATTTTAACGAATCGGTTTTTTTTTTACTCGCAGTCGTGAAAACCACAATTCGGTTAATTCGAAAGAATAAAGAGCGAGGTGTCGCTAGTAGGTAGTTTAGTTAGGCAAGGTGTATGTATATATTTTTTGTTATCGATGGGGGGATGCAATCGTATGCGATCGTTAATATTAAAAGTACCGGTTAATTTAATCGTGCCACTCGGGACGGGCAATTAGCCGCATCTCGAGCGCAGCTATCGGGCCGATTACGGGGGGGGGGGGGGGGGGACGTAACCGGATCGCTCGGGTGTCACGTGAAGTTGGAAGTGTCTCTCGGTCGAGGAAGGACGACCAAAACAAATAATTGCTCCCGATATCTCGGGAAAAGCCGCTCGACGATGCGCGGCTGCGACGTAAAATGAGAATTCCAAAGTCACGAGGCGGCGGACTCTTTCGAGGCCCCGAGCCGCCCGATAAGCGTTATCGGCCTTGATCCGTCGCGTCACGTTTCTCCGCGAGTCGCGCACTTTGAATTTCCCGTACTTTAAATCTTTCGCCCATTTCATTATCGCGCCCTTTATAGTTTGCCCCCTTTGAAAATTTCACGCGCTTTAAATCTCGCGCCTGATCAAGAGCAACGAGGAAAATACAAAAGTTTTCTCGACCACCTCGTGGACGTATGTGGACTATTCGTACATCTAAAGTGCCTCGGAGACACCTCGTGATTACCCGTAGAAAGGCCGCAATTTGGCCGTAACGAGAGTCCACTTAATAAATTAAAACCCTACGACCGAGGTGTCTCCTTCCCCTTGCGTGTACGACGTTGGTATTCCATTCAAATTTTTTTTAACGGCGTCTTCGTTTTATCGGACACCCATCCAAAGGTCATTTTACATTTTTGATATCCGATAAAGACGTTTAGCCGGGTCGTTCAGGGAACCGCGTCAAGCTTTGTCGTCGCGTTTTCATTGTCACAGCTGCGTTTAATCTCGCCCGATAAAACGAATTGCTCTCTTCGACGGGATGACGAACTCTATGCGTTACCGAGGGCCGATGTGACTCGTCATTTGCAAGGCGATTGCGTTAATTGTCATAAATAATTAACCCCCTTGCCGTTACATAATTACTCTGGACGTGTAACGGAACGTTATGGCCATCGTTCATTTTCTAATGAAGCGTTCGTTACGGACTCCGCTCGTACTTCCATTACGAGTTAACGACGGCACGCAATCTCCTCTTGCGTGTACGCTCGTTTTCAACCGTGAGAGAGAGAGAGGGGCCATTGCACGCGTTGCGTTTATCTCGTCGGGGTTTCTTTCGGCTTCGGAAAAAAGAACTTCATTATCCTAGGGCGTGCACGAAGACGCGTCGAGACGTCAGAAATTCATCTCCGCTGCGTTATAGGTTATGGTCGGTCGGGCCGAAAGCCAGGGCGCTCCTTGTTTTCTTTTTTTTTCCACTCACCAGGAAAGAGACCTCGTAGAAATTCCACGTTTCTGCCTTCTTTTATTTTTTTTTTAATGCGCGGGCCCGTATTTTTAGATTTTCCCGTCATTCCGAGAACTCGGGGGATAGAGAGGGGGCTAGTGGTACGTGCGTATACTTTTTTCCTGTATGCCAAACCACCGGGAGTGTCCTCCGGTGGAACTCGCGTTAAGATCCTAAACGGGGTTTGCAAGGATATTTTTGATTCGGGGAACGAGAGTTCAAAGGGCAATCGCGAAGGTTACACGAGGGAACTCAAAAGTGCGCGCCTCCCTTTCGCGTCGGGGTTAGAAAATCAGGGGCGCTCTCCGCGACTCCAGAGACACCGCAGGCTCTCCTGGTTTCTCTGGAAAAACTGCGTAATTCGTGTTTTAACCTGACTTGAAAACTCGCAGAGCCCCCAGGGCCTCGCTAACGAGCGCACGAGTCGTCTGGTTCCCCCCCTATACGTTTGTCGGGACTAGATTTCTTTAAACGGCGTTTTCTCGGGAGAACGGAAAGACCGCGCGTCATTTCCCATATGCGCGTTCTGGCGGCTGGTTGACTCTCATGGCTGGCTCTTATATAGATAATTCTCATAGCTGGAATGCCGGCGGCGAAGCATTCCACCCGGCATTCCGCGTGCCGAGGAAAGAAAAAGAAAAGCCGCGTCTTTTTTACCTTTCCCGCCGATAACGACGGCGCGCTCGTTAGTCCCGTCTTCGTTTCCACGACTAGCCCTCTCGCGAAGGAAAAGGAGCCGTCCATCGGCTCTTTTGGGCCTCGACTCTCGCCTTACTTTTCCGCTTTCCTCTTTTTTCTTTCCCCCCCCGCGAGGCCCGGTCGCGCGCGCAGTGGAGATTATCTATTTCGGAGCGGCGCGCGGCGCGCGGCGCGCGGGCGCACGCGCAGGGCGCCGGAAGCGAAGGAGAGGGATCGGGCCGCGCCGCGCGGCCGTGACGTCACGCCGTATATTTAGACCAATGAATGAGAGCCGATGTCTCGCTGGATGGAAGGCGACGCGGGTAACGGTCAACTTCCGCGGCTTCCGAGGTCGAAGGAAGACGGGTTTTCCTCCCTTCGGGAAACGCATCAACGGAATTACAAAGTTGAAATCGACATCGAATAATATTTATCGCGTATAATTTGAATTTGACAGTATTTATTGAAAGTCGCGGGTTATTTTTTTGTTTCGTTGTCGAGATCCCGATTCCACGTTATTGCGATTATTAGCGTGATTCTTTTTATTTCCATGTATTTAAAATTGTTGTTTAGCACGGGTATAGATCGCGATACGAACTAGGCGAGGGTTGAGGCAGGCTCGTCCTCCTGGCGGCCCTCTCGGGGCTTGAATGACGCCCCCCCTCCGCGGTCTCGATCGAGTCGCGGCGACCGACGGTTCCGCGACGGCGGCCCCGCCCCCGAGTTAAATGGGAATGACCTTGCCCGACCTTAGCGACCGGGTTTATGGCGGACCACCGTTTAGGCATCGCCGCTTTCCGACGATGTGCCGGTCCTTTGCTTCTCTACCCTCTAGAGTCTAAGGGCCCTTAAAGTGCCCCCCCCGCTTAACGATTTCTAATCGGCGAAGTCGAAGCCATTTCCCACTTTCTTTTTTTTTTCATTTTAAAACAACGCGTCGATCAAATCCGCACGCATCGACTCGCATGGATGTATCGTGGAATCGAATCGTCGCGCCGGAGCTACCTCGAGTTCAACTATCTGTAACTAACGGTAGGTCAGGGCCGCCTGGGGGAACTCTTTTCCATGGTTATATTTACATACCTCCGAGGAGCGGTTCTACAGGGATTTAATTATTGTATATATGAATATTAATGCTAGGGGAGCCATTTGAGTCGCGCGTACCGTTACTCGAGGTCGTGATCTAGATGTCGACGTTACCCTCGAGTTTGGCCACGTGGGTGAATCGTTTCGACCGGCACTCTTTCGGATCGCTCGGAGGTCTTTCGCGCCACTTTCGCGCCACTTTCGAGCCACTTTCGAGCCACTTTCGAGCCACCTTAAGGGCCGAGCCGACCGAAATAGAGACGCGGCAAAAGTGCGACTCGAGGGCCACCCTCTTCCCCGGTGTTCTCCGTCCTCTTTCTTTTTCCCCGAGGCTGCCATATTTCCGCCCGAGAGGGCAGCCGGCACCTACGTATGCCTCTCTGCCGATGGTAAAAATAGCCGGCCGCTGGCAAAGATCGGGATATCTGGGAATAGACGAGGAGAAGTCGCGAAAGGGGAGAGAAGACGAGCGGAGACGCGACTGCCCGCCGTCCTCGCCGAAGAGCGTCTTATTACCTGGAGTGGGCTTATTTTCCTGTATCCCCGAGTACCTCATAAACCGCCTTCAAAGACGCGTCGATTGTGATCGGGAAAAAAACAAGAATGGCGATACGACAAAAAGCGATTCTTTTATTCACATCTCTTGGATCCTCCTAAACGACGG